ATACCTTTATGTATTTTGTGTCTTGACTCCTTACTTTCAATCGTCTGATCGTATTAAGAATTGCAGCTGACACATACAGCCTCGTTTCCAAACGCGGAAGTATGCAGATCGACGCTAAAAGCGTTGTATTGGAATCCATCTATTGTGCTAATTGAAACAATACTTTGGTGCCTTTGGAGGTTTTGTGCTCATTCAAATTTCCATATTCATGAGCAAAACTGTGATGTCATCTCAGAGAGAAAACCTCAATGTTGCATTGATTTGTGCACAAAAAATGTTTGGATGTTTAATAGTGCGCTGCCGTAAATTTCTAGTTGTTTAATCTATTGTAGTGCAAGTGCAAGGGAATAAGCCAGTGAGCAGCCCTTCCTGAGAAATGTTTTCATTGAGCTAATTTGGGGTTCACAGAAACTGTCTCCTCAGTTGACCAGAAAAACATGGACACTTTTAAAAGCTCAGAAAAGCACACTTCTCAGTGCCCTCAATGTGCCAAAAGGAGGTCAAATAGTTTTTTAGAGATTTCAAGAAAGAATGTATTCCGGTATAGTTGCACAAATAGTGTGTCTTATCTATATAACGGCTTTTGCCCTTACCCAACGTATATATTGATAAACACAGGCCTCGAATTTCATTTTTTTTCAGGGCACTGCCATTTGGCATTGGTGGACTGGCTGAAATAAAGGGCAGTCATGCCAAACGTGAGGGCATTAATGCCATCAGCGTACCAAAGTTATGGGCACTAATGCCATCCCGATTTTCATTATATCGCATGAAAATGATTCAGGTCTATAAGAAAAAGTAGGATTTGCATTATACCTGAACATGTCCGTGATAAGTGCTGAACCAGCAGCCAAGTGTTGTAAGGCTTCGGCCTGTTCTGACTGCAACCGTTCTTTCCTCGGCATTTTGCGTACCACAAAAACTGGCCAGGCCAGTGATTTTGCACACAACGTATGTGAGAATTAATCAGGGTAGTTCCGATTGACCGTACCGATGTCGTATATGTACAGTTCGGATCACGGGCAGCGCGTAGCACTAAACTGCAAACACTTCATTGCGGTGTTAGTTAAAATACTGCCCTGACCATACAATTGTCCTGCGTGCACGAAAAACGTGGAACTCTCGATGTACCGATAACGCGTACACGTTGATGAGCACTTGTTCTAGACCGACATTATTGCATGGTACATTAAAATACTTGGCTTGGGCATGCGATGTTATGTTAATTCGTTGGATAGGCCGGTGGGTGTCGCCTGTGCCATGCTATGCTTGCGATTGTACAGTATGCATGGAGCGGGCCGGACCACCGGTGCGCAATGGGCTGAGTGTGTGATATTCCCACATACACACAGTGCACGCACGCCCTGCTTTTATGCATGCATGCCATGCATTTGGGTGGCGCGGCGGGGTGTTCTGGTCGAGTGTGAGCAATCATGGAACAATGTGTATGCTGTTTTCCATACCGCTTTCCGTGTACCTTGCTGAACAGGGGCAGTCGATATGCATGTGTAGGGCACTATGGCCAAGAGAAAAAAAGGGCACTGCCATCTTGGCCGTGAAACACGATCACTTTTCGGAGGCACCATGGCCAAATGGATGGGCACGGACGGCCATGGCCGTCGTGGTCGTCGTAAGATTCGAGGCCTGTAAACTGTATGCTCAGTGTTTGTCCGAGAGCTTGCGAAAAAATTCACATGCTTACTTGGATGGGACTCGAACCCTCGACCTCCTGCTTACTAGTGCAGACATCTTAACCGCTCAACCACCAAGCGGCTGGCCGGTCCAAGTGAGGTGAAGCAGCGGGTACTGCAAACCGGTTTCAAGATTTTTGATTTCAAGTCCCGCCTGAGTAAGCTTGTGAATTTTTTCGCAAGCTCTCGGACAAGCAGTGAGCATACAGTGTTTATAAATATATACGTTGGGTAAGGGCAATACCGGTTATATAAATTAACATTTCCCCAATGCAAAAAAAAAAATCTTGAAACTAGTGTGTCTAAGAAAAACTCCTCACAAGAACCTTTTAAGAAGTTTTGACAATATTCACTCACATCTCTTGATGCATTTCATTATATTCTGTAGGTAGCAGTGTCAGATGTGGTCATTTCAAATAACTCAAAAATTCTCAAACCTCCAAAATGTCTGAGAAAAACATCACATTTAAGTTTGATCTTATTTATGTCATTCTGGTCAGTTCTTAAGGCGCACTTCAGTGAGCTTATATTGCCATGCAAAAATTATTCTAAATACCAAGTCTCCCGGGCTGAACTGAATAAAATAAAACTGAACAAAATAAAGAAGTGCATATAATGACTGCATCACGTGTAATGACTGAGGTTTGATTTGTATTGGAGTCCCCAAAATCTGGGGACTCATTACCTTCAACAAGCTGTAGCCTGAAGCCAATGTTGGAGATCAACCCTTGGGCACTGGCCAGTCACATCAATGCATATGTACATAGTTGTGTGTGTTACATCGTTTCTTTCCTGTTTTTGGCTTTGTCTTGTGCAGGGTTTTTCGGTGTGTGTCTGGAAGTTATCTAGTGAAGCCGAGAACTCCCTTTTCCTCATGCTAGAGTTCCTGGACACAGTCTTGACATACTCCCAAGGGTTTTTCACACTGGCTGTCTTTGGCTTTGATACACAAAACGTCATCATCCCGTTCTACAATGCGTAAGTTGTTCTCTCACTATTTTATTCTATAAATTCAACTTCTTGTTGAAATGATTCTGTCAGTACTGCTTTCTTAATTCATGCTGCAAATGTTGGACTTGATCCCTGGTATGAGTTTATCCAGATGAAATGATTTCTGTCCCGCACCTCTGTGCTAGAGACATTGGGAGACCGTGCTTGAAGGATGTTGGAGCACCTACATGTATATGGCATTCAGGGGGTTGTATTTTGGGAGA